CCAGCCCGGGAACCCAGCTCAGATCCCAGCCCGGGAACCCAGCCCGGGAACCCAGCCCGGATCCCAGCCGTGATCCTAGCCGTGATCCCAGCCCAGATCCCGCAGCAGAACCCAGCCCGGGAACCCAGCCCGGATCCCACAGAGGATCCCACAGAGGATCCCACAGAGGATCCCACAGAGGATCCCACAGAGGATCCCAGCCTGGATCCCAGCCGGGATCCCAGCCGGGATCCCAGCCCGGGAACCCAGCCCGGGAACCCGCAGCGGAACCCAGCCCGGATCCCAGCCCGGGAAACCAGCCGGGATCCCAGCCCGGATCCCAGCCCGCTCCTGCGCGCATCGCCCGGCCGCACCCCGGGCATCCCGCCGAAACAGCCGCAGCTGGAGGAGAAGGCACAGCTCCCCGCGTTTCCTCGTCAGGAACAGCACTCCAAAGCTGCAGGCTGCAAAGGCCGTTCCCATCTGCCCCAAGGAATTCGGCTCATTAACGGGATGCTGTTGCATCTGGGAGTCCTCCGTGGAGTTGATCTTGAGAAATCCCCCTGCCCTGAGGAAATATAGCCCAAATGGAATGACCACCCCAGAAAGCACTGGAGTGCCCCTTTAGTCACGGGTACAGATCTTTCTTTGGGAAGGAGGAGCCCCAGATTTTATGTGTCACACCACAGATGTAGGCTTGTCCCACTTTGGAAGTGCCAGCAGCTGAAACACCCTCCAAGATGGGGTTCCAGTAACCCTTCCAAGAGCTTGATCAAGTCCCAGCTGGTTGCCAGACCTGTTCTCTACTCAGATAACACTTCTCTAAAGGGCTCAAACACATACACTTGACAATGTTTTCATCATAAAACCTAATTATATAGCCTAAAAGGACTAAAAGGTTAAAACAATTGCTCTGACTTCTTTCAGCTGCAGAGCTAGGGAAGGATCTGTGTGAGACGTGTCACTGGATGGGCAGCCTGGCAAAGTCCAGCTGGCTTTTTTCTGTACCCTCCTCTTCTCTGGCTGCCCTGCACCCACTGCCCGTGTCAACAAGATCAACCTAACACAAGCCACGTCTAGTGGCTAGACGATTAGTCTCAGGAATAAACAAACCAAAGCAGAAGTTCAAACCAAACAGAGAACAAGGGCCAAGCACATTCACATCAAATCACAAGCCTTAGGTCTTCTCCAGTCCGTGAGGGAACTACCTGTGCTCAAGATACTGGGGAGCAGTCACCCACCCAACATCAGTAACCCCAAGACACTGCCACAAGTCAGAGAAAGCGGGATATCCCCCTCAGAGGGCAATAGTTTGTGGTGGTGAGGGCTCACTCTATCACAAGCCACACTGTGAGCCTGAGGTAACCAGTCCCTAACACCAGCACTAAAAAACACCCCTAGAGCAGGGAATGCCTCCCCTTCAGCACCAGAGCAGGGACCCGCAGTGGGATCCTGCAGGAATGTGAGACAGTAGGAACAGCTGCCACCTCCAGAAAACTCGAGAGGAAACGAAAACACTGGAAGCTCTCAAACTGGTTTCCCTTATTTTATAGCAATCAGAAAAAGGGGGTGTGCGTCATCCAAAAGGAGAGTGGGAACACTCTCCCAACACGCAGGAAAGCTGCGATCGAGTTAGTAATACATCTCATGGGAGCAAGTGGTGTAACTTTCCCAAACTCAAGGAGTAGGGGGCTTTTCCCCCAGCATTAGAAACTTTCTGGAAGGGAGATCTTCACCCAAGACTCTGGGCACACAGCTGTCTGTCAGGATTGCTAAAATGAGCAGACACTGCTTTCATGTTTGGGAATTTTGCCACTGACTTCAAAGTACTGAGATATAACACCTTGTGTACTCCCTAAACACACTTAATAACAGCACCTGACACATTTAAAGTGCTTAGACATGTTAAAGGCATTGTACAACATTAGCAAAAAACCAGGAAACCCTGTCTAGGTGGTTAATGAGAAATCTGGTAAGCCAAGAGTCTATCTCTGCATCAGATGCTTATCTATTAGCCAGCTAATAACTGTGGGACTCTTCTCCAGCTGATCCATGCAGCCACAAGCAGGGACTACCTTCTGGTGAGCTGTGGAGACACTAGATTATTCATAATCCTCTTAAATCATAACTAAGAATAGAGATTAGAAGGTGTAAAGCATGCAGTAAGTGTTCTAAACCCAACACAAACACAGCCAATCTCAGTCTGAGTCAGAGCCTGTGTGCTGGGAGCTAGCTCAACTCCTTCTGCAGGGCAGCTCTGGGGGTGCAGTGTGGGGTTTGGCTCCTGGGGCTGGGCTGCTGTGACACCAACACACACCAAGCAGTGCCTGGAGCCAGGCCCAGGCAGACAGGAGCAAGGTCAGCACCACTTTGGGGACAAGGCCATCGGGCTAAGAAATGAATGTTCCCCTTTGCTTCAGGGCAAGCAGTGGAGGGAAGGAACACCAAGGTATCCTTGGAGAAGGACAGTGGAAAGGGATTTTGTCTCTAGACAACTCAGAAATAAAATAAAATAAAAACATGGTTCATGGGGTAGCTCTTAAAACATGAAGAAGGCCACCGTCAGGAAACTTCAGCACAGGTCCAACTGGAGACAACATTGAACCCAGTTCATCAACATCTCTTAACTTATCCAAAAGTTGCCCAATCACAGAATCACCAAAGTTGGAAACCCTCACTATCATTTCATTCAGTCATCAACCCAGCACCACCACAACAACACCTTATCCACACCTCTGAGTGACTCCACCAGCTCAGCCTAATGCACACTTACTCTTTCCCTGAACATTTCTTTCTAATATCTGATCTGACTTGCCCTGGCAACCTAAGACCCTTTCCCCTCCCTTCACTTGAGACATAGCAGAAGACACCTGCCCCTCCTCAGCTGTGTGCCCAGGGATGCGTTCACAGATGTCAGTGGTGTCACCTGAGAAGGCTCCATGCAGGTGACAGCAAACTGACCAATTCCACTGAAACCAGCCTGAAACAACGAGCAAATGTAGAATTACAAACTGCATGATCCCGTACTTGGTACACATGGGGATATGCAAGGAGGCTCTTGAAATGCCTCTCCGTGGAGACAAGCAAAACTGGCACCAAGCTTTGCCCTGACCTGCACAACTACTAAAAAGCAAAGAGGATACACAGCACTGTGCTTTGTCAGGAGGTTTCTAAGGTTATATCTATGCTCACTGATGTTTTAACTGCACTGGGCAAGTAACACACTGACACAGAAATGCATTCCTGAATGTGCGTTGGTCAGGAGGTAATTGCCAATGAAAATCATCTAGTCTGGCAGCTGTCTTAAACACCGGGCTAATGGTAGCAGCAGCGGCTCTATGTGTGGTACCTTCTTCCTCCAACCACTTCTTCATATTACTTTCCATGCAGTATTCCTCAAGTTTTCATGGCATTTATCTACAGAGTTTCCCTGTCTACAGTAACAGCCAGAGACACCGGTTTGAAACTCCAATTTTAACCACTGTGGCTTGAGATAGCCAGTGTGTATGCTCGCACCAACACTCAGCAGGAAACAGAACTCCTGCATCCTGGAAATCTGTGTCCTGACACTCCTGAACCTCAACAATTTGCAGGTACAAGGTGTTTTACTGGCTGCTGACCTGCGATATGCGATCCTGTTAACCGCAGCTGCTGCCAGCCTCGGTGCTGCCCTGTAGTACTATCCCTGTGTGCTGCTGCAGCCACCTCCAGCATGTTTGTAAACATTCCGCCTTCCAAGAACTTCCCACTTGAAACACGACAGCTAATGTATTCACATCTGCAATAATGAGATGCAAACTCATAAAAAGCCGCTTTCTTGCTCAACTGAAGTGCTATTCCATTAATAGTGATGTTCAAATGGTTCTGAAACTCCCCACTGTTTAACTTTGAGGGCTGCTCGTTTTACTTTGGAAATTTACTCTCAGTTGTAACTTGACAAAGAAGGTATTAATTTATTCGCATTTATGAGGCATGTATATGGTTCAGCCTTCTCCGTTCATTGGTCAGACAACAAATTGGTTTCTCTGAAAAATTACCTGATGAAATATTCAACATAAGGCATTGTGTAGCTTAGATGTGCAGTACAAACTGCAGTTTTACTGGGGTGTCCCTGTGGGTTGGCTCTGGCACGTACGCCTGCATGTTTTATGCTTTGTCTGAAGGAGGAAGCTCCCACAAGTGAGGAGAAGGCTCTCGGATATGGGTCACAAGTTGGTGTATCAAAACTTTAACGAGAATTTTAAAAAACCCTACACTGCATCAGCATATTTCCCCCAAGTCTTCAAAGAAAAAAAACCAAACCCAAACCCACACAAACCAGACCTTGAATATTCCTTGCTATTTCAGTTGTTTCTACAAAGAGGAGGAAATCAACCAAGATTTATCCAAAGCCAGAATGAAAGCAAGAGGACACACTCTAACGTAGGCTACACAGGTTTCCCCTGCACTTCACGTTTGACGCGGTCATTTTACTCCTGCTTCATTTTTAGTAAGTAGCCAGTATCATTTAGACGTTTGCTTCCCATCCAGAAGAAGATTTAAATAAATCAATTCCTCTCTCACAACCTTGCGGCGTTTTCCACCTCTGACACCGAAACCCATTACGCTCCGATTATTCCGATTTCTGAATCAAAACCCTGAAACCCGTTTCAGTTGCACTCAGCACAGAAGCAACGAGACAATGAGAAAAAAGAACCACCGCCGAACACTTGGTGCGACCACCCCCCCTCGCAGCTCCGTTCGCATCGCCACCGCCGGGAGAGCCCCTCTGCGGGCAGGGCAGGGCAGGGCAGGGCAGGGCAGGGCTGCCGGCGGCGCTGCGAGGGGCAGGGGAGCCCGGCTCCGGGGAAACCTCCCCGCTCCGACTTCTCGCCGCCCACGAGCCGGGACAAACTCCAGCGTGGGGCGGCGAGCGCTCCCAGCCCGCGGCTCCCGAGCCGTGCCCGGGCATCTCCCGGCTGGCAGCGGCCCCGGGGCTGCCCCGGCCCGGCACCGCGGCCCCGGCGCCCCGCGGCACTCACCGGAGATCTCGGCCTGGGGCACGCCGCTGAGGCTGAAGCCCTTGGCCCCATACAGCTGCCGGACCTCGGCGCAGCTCCTCGCCTTGCTGCCGCTGTCACCGCGAGCCGGGGCGGAGGCGACACACAGCAGCCAAAATCCCCACGGGAAGACACGCATCCTTCTCCGCTGGCCCCGCCACCTGCCGAGCGAAGGGCAAAGCCAAGGTCCCGGGGTGCGGGGGCGGCCCGGGGTGCGGCCCCTCCGCGGGCAGCCCCGGCGGGACGGGCGGGCGAGGCGGCGGGCGGGTGAGCCCCGGCTGCCCGCAGCGTGCGGGGAAGGCGCCGGCGAGTTCAGCCCCGGCTCGGCCGAGGGGGGCAGAGATCCAAGTTCGGCCGCGCCGCTTCAAAGCCCCGGAGCGAGAGCGCGCTGAGGGCTTTTGTTCTTAGCGCGGCCGCATCCCCGGGCAGTCCCGCCGCGATGCTGCCGGCTGCGGCGCCGCCGGGCCGGGCGGAGCGCGGCGGGGCGGGGCGCGGGGCGGGCTGCGGGGCTGCTCCCGCGGCGGGGCCGGGCCGGGCCGGGCTGGGCTGGGCTGGGCTGGGCTGTGCCGGCTCCGCTCCACCTGCGCGCCGAGCGGCGGCGGGGCGGCTCCGGGCGGGCAGGGCTTCCCCCGCCGGACGTGGCATCACGCGGCCCGCGCCAATCCCGCGCCAATCCCGCGCGGGGCGCAGCCCCCGCCCCGCCCCGCGCCCCCGCCGCGGGCTCTGCGCGGTGCCCGGAGCCGCCGGAGCGCCCCGAGCATCCCCGGGCATCCCCGGGCATCCCGGGCATCCCCCGGCATCCCCGGGCGGGCAGGGCGCGCACGGCGCTCCGGGGGCCGCCGCCGTCCTTGGGCAAGGACGCGGGGACAGCGCGCAGCGAGCCCTTTGTCTGCGGCGTGGCCCCGCTGCTTTGCCCGGAGTTCCCCCAGCGGGGCGGGAAAACGGCCGCGGAGAAGACTTAAATCATTCCAATCTTTGAGCGGCGAGGAGAAAGGAGATCAGCTGAGAGCCGGAGAGTCCCAGCAAGGTCCTGGGGAGGCTGAAAGTGCCCCTTTAAGAGCAGATGTGGGAAGAGAGGCAATTCTCTACGACAAATTCTCAGCTTTGGAGTTTACTTCATCCGACAGCCTGCCAGCTCCTGAAGCTGGTGCTCTGCAGCTCTGCCAGCCGCGTTTTGAGCTGCTTCACACAGAACTGAGACGTGTGCGATCACCTGTGTGTGTCAAGGCAATGCCCGTGTGCTTCTCCAAATGAGCTTGCAGGATTTTGGCCAGCGTCTAACTCGGTTCGCGACACACAGAAGACCGAGCGGTCGCTCCTGAGCCTTTGGAGAGCAGTTGTTCTCTGTGAAAAAGGGGGAGGGAGTCTGCCCGTGCCTCAGCTGGAGCACTTGTGTGGGCTTAAACCTTACAAGATTGCAGAAATTGCACACATAAACTCCATCACTGTGCCCCCCCAAAACATAGCAACATTTAAGAGAGATCGTAGCTTTTGGACTAGGCAGGCACCCAGATGTGAGAAACTTCATGGGAAACTGGTGGTGTTCATCCCATTGCTTCAGAACTGCTTGTCCTGAGGAATGGGAGAAGTGACTGCAAAATAGGAGCCATGGGGAGTAGCAGGATGGCAGTAGGGGAAAGTTGTTGCTTTCCTATAAAATTACCTAATGATTTCCTCTTAAATCGTCCTAATTACATTCATCTATGAAAGCAGATGGAGAGGACAGGGAAAATCCCTGCAAAGACAGGGAGAATTTTGTAATGAAGATCATGACTAAGATGACACATCATTACCACCAAAAGTTAATAGCTTTGAGTCAGATACACCCATATAGTCCAAATCTTAATTCTCTCGCAGATGACATTGTGCCTTTTGGCCTCTTGTATCATCTCTTAGTTTAGAAACCTGAGGCTTACAGAGTCCCAAAATATGCCTCAGCTTGGAGCTTGCTGTGTGGGGAAAAATCTGCCATGGATAAAGCCTGACTTACCCTGGTTTTAAATGAAAACTCTTTTATAAATGCAAAAGTACTGCACACTTAAGAGGTTACCAAGTAGGTTATGTGTCACGAGGTTATTTCAGCCCATACTCCTGGGGATTTATTTTCATTTTATAGCCATAGCCATAGCCCTTTCCTCTCCCCAGGCTTTGAACATATCACTTGAAGATCCCTGTCAGAAGTCTCATCTAACTAATCCAAGTACAACAATGGCAGAAAACAAGCAGCAGAGGAATCTGTGCCTACATTGCCACGAGTGGAGGAACACCTCCTCCTCTTGGAAAACCAGAGTGAAAATCAAATACTTGCAGACACACGGGTAACAACAGTCTCACTTGAGTCTGCTGAGGGGAATGAACTCCAGGAATTCAAACTCTAAAGACACAAAGTACTTGACAGAGAAGAAAGGCAGAGTCATAAACCTTTTATCTGGTCTGGCTGCACAGAATGACTTGGGGTGGGTGACACAGGAGACCAAAATAGTACCGAATTTCCTCTTTTCCTTCTCAAATCCTGGGATTGGATACTTGTTGCCACTGAATACGTGTGGCATATACTTTCAGCTCTGCCTGTAGTGACTTTGGGTGAGCTCTCTGTGAGCTGTGGCTGCACCCCAAGGTTGCAGCACAAAGCTCTGTGCACTCACAGCTGCTGGCAGGGGAAGAGCTGGGACTGCAGCCCTTGGGTTCTGGCCTTGGAGCCATCCCCTGAGCTACAGACATTTCACAGGCCCAAGTATTTCCCTTCTTGCCATACATCTCACTTCCCTGGCTGGGTGGCAGTGCCTGCAGCAGGGACTGGGGTCACGTCAGTGCTGATAGAATCCTGGGAGCGCAGCACGCTCGCTGCTGTTCCTGGCTGAGACACCAGGCTGCCAGCCCAACACTGCCAGCTCCCAGCTCTTCTCACAACTACAGCTCAGCTACAAGCTCTGCTGCAAACCTCAGGCATTAAATGACCACCAGCAGGTCATTTAACTCCAAACAGGGTTAAGAGTGTTTTTTACCCAACCACCTGCCTTTGGGATGCTGACATACTATCATAATGAGAAGCTTATAAGTAGACAAATTTAAAATGAACACAAGCTGATATGAGCTCTTCAACAGAAAATACATCTGCAAGTCTGTGCAGGATCAAATCCTGGGCAAAGAAATCTTAAATGGTGAGGCATGTCTCGTTTTGCTGTGAAGTTTGTATACACATGCAGGATTTGACCTAGGCACATTTTAAGTAAATTGAAATAAACATCCTCAAAGTGTCATGATGAAAATGTATTTTTGGCATCCATTATAAATTGGATTGTCTATATCTGAGGACCAGATCCAGCTTCTGAACATCCTCAGCTAAAAGAATGGAAGTTGGCAAAAAGTAAACAAAAGATTGTCCAAAAACAGTCAGAAAGAGCTAGAACCGGGAAAGATACAAAAAGGCAGAGTAAAACACAAAGATGAGCAGACAAAATGCAGAGGAGGCAAAAAGCACACAGCCAGCCAGCAAGACAGCCAGAGGAAGACAGAAAATCCATCCTGCTCTGGAGATCACCTCTCGACAGTCCCGACAAAAAGCACTGCCCACTGAAAAGCTGATCCAAGCATTGTGGAGCAAGAAGGATGAAGAAGAGCCAAATCATCTGGCACAAGTGGGGAAAGCTACCCTTTAAAACAAGAAGTGAACAGAGAGGCTTTCTACAACCTCAGTTTTCACAGAGACATCTTTGTTTCTCAAGCACTTTCCAAAATTTTTGCAATGCAGTGGACTTGCCTCTCTTTCTCACCTTGATGCAAGTCAAGAATTGTACAGGCAGCAATGCAATTACACCCACGAGACTTCCAGCTGGTTCCAAAATGGACCTATGCTGAGTTACAGCAACCTGGAGTCTGACAGCAAAACCTAAACAGGAAAAAACCCAGAATTCAAAATTGCCCTGTATCTTTGGTGCCACATAAAAGAACAGTGCATTCTCCCTTGAGTTCAGCGGTGTTTCTACTTTTTTCCCTATGCATCAAGGGCAAAGTTCACACAGCATGGGGAGTGGGGAAGGAAAAGAGATGGGCAAAGCCTGACTGGGCTACAGCTTCCTTGCTCCTCTCAACCTCACATAATGAAACCCTTTGCCCCTTTCCCTTAGCCAGCTTATGATACTTTTGATTCTCTGGCAGCATCAGCAAATCTGGCACCTTTAGATTAAAAATCTTCATCAAAGCAGGAATATCTCAGTACCTCTTCTGCTCAATTCCTTTAATCTCTGCAATAGCAGTTTCCTGCAGAATTCATAAAAGCCACTGCCCCCCCTCCAACACTGGGTGGTGTTCAGCAGAAGCTGGACATGTGTTTTGCTGAATCAAATCTAATTAAGTTATTCAGAGGATTTACTAGATTACACCTTGCTATCTACAGCTACTTACTTCTTCCCCAGCTCTCCCTTCACTGGAAATCTGGCATCTTCTCCTCCCCTCTGCTCACCTTCCCCCAGGAAGCTTCCCTGACATGCACAAACAGCACGTGTCAGGTTGTTTTGATCACCAAAAATATCAGATCAATCCCTTCAAATTGCTGGGGCATCTATGTACAACTGGCAAATCCAGCTTGATCTCAGTTGACTTTGTAAGACACCATTTGCCTTCCCAAAATACAAAGAACTTTTGGGATTTGTGTGCTCGGATTAATTAATCAGGGATAGCCTTCAGTAGATGTACAGAGCCTCAAGAACTTCCCAGGTCTTGAGGGAGCCAGACTGAGGCCCCAGGGCAGTGACAATCACAATTCTGGATGCTGAGGAGCAGAGGAAGAGGGGCTGCACAGAGGACAAGTGCAGCAGCGTACGCCAAGGCTGTGCCAAGCTGCTCTTCAACTTTTGGTGGAACAGCCCAATTCCCTTCAAATGGAATTTTCATTTCCCCAGTGTGGCTAATACTAGGAATATTAGGAACAACTAAGTAATTTCAGACAGAAAATCAGGCCAATGCAGGTAATTGCCACTCTGTGCTGTGTTTTGAATTGAAGCACACAATTTTACAGCAGCAACTTAAAGGAATGTATTGCTTAATGACCTCTTACCCATGACTCCACCCTGCCAGACTGTACTTGTGTTATATAAGAGTCAGAGATTTCCCAGTAGAAAGAAGTCTTAAAGGCCAAAAACGAAATAAATGCCATAAACTCGTTAGAGAAACTGCTGTTAATTGGGTCTGCCCCAGGAAGTACATTTCATCCTTTCTGGGAACTTTCAGTAAAGCTTTTCCCACTCTCAAAAACATATGCAGCAATGAACAAAGAGTATTGACATGGCA